GCTACCAGCCATAAAATGCAACCAGACAATGCAAATTGCCAGCGAGACTGAGGCTGAAGGACCATCTATTGCTCTTCCTGTGGCCAAGCATCGTTGGGATCTGGATTGTGGCTCCTTGTGGTCTTATTGCATGCAAATATACAGCAACAACACACAGACATTTGGCCGAGACACGTGAAATGATGTGCAAATCTTATTAACAATTGCTGCCAACAGCAGCAGAAGCAGAAGCTGAAGCTGAAGCAGTTGCTGCATCCGTCGGTCGAGTGCAGTTCAGTTGAGTGGACAGAAGGGACTGGGGGAGTCCATTGGGGTCGCTCTTTTGTTGCTCCCTTCTGCCCAACTCCTGCCCAGGCTGTGCTCTTACTGCAATTGCAAAACTAAAGCGCCATTCAGCATAGTGTGTTCGAGTCCTTTGAGGGTTTGTTTGAAGGTTTTAGTCTTTAGTTTAAGGTGTGTCATAGACTTGAATAAGGCTTAACAAATACGAAAATCTTCAATTTAATATATTAGTTATTATAATTATCATTTCTATTATTATTATTATCCCTTTTATTATTATTATTTAACCTTTCTTGATCCGTCCATGAGAAAAGATTAATTGACGGATTGAAATGTACATTTTAATTTAGATTTCAAATAAATTGATAATATCAATCAAATTCATCTCACAAAATCAATAAAAGTAGGGAAATAAAAAACTCATTTTATATGAAAAGTGCTGACAACTTTTCCAAAGTTAAGTTTAAAAATTATTCACACAAAGTTAAAACATTGAAATCATTTAACTTTAAAGCCATGCTTAAGTCTTAGTCGATGCATTTTATTAATGACACTCCTTCCTTGGTATCTATGACATAATTGAGGAATATACTTAAAGATACTAAATTGTTCAAGTCATATAATGTGCTTAATTATGCTTTCCATTAAGTTTTGCATATATATCTTAGCTGTTCAGTGACATCTCCCAAAAAGGGATAACCCAAATTTCTTTATGGTTCCCCATTACTCAGCAGCCAAAAACAATTTTGGATGCCCAACTGTTCGCCTGTTTTTCCATTAAAGTCAACTAATAAATATCCAAGTCGTTTAGAGTGGAGCAGACCGGAGCTGAAGTCTCAGACGGATATTAAACACTTAAATGCTGGCATAATTTTTACTATTCCAGCGGCTAAGTATTTAATTTAATGCGTACACCCCCCAAAAAGCTAAGCTCAGAACAAATAAATTGAGTCGGGGGCGAGGCAAGGAGCTGCCAGTCGACATTTGGATAGACAGGCAGTCTGAAGGGGTGGTCTGGGTGGAGAGGGAGCACGTTGGAGTACGAGGGGAGCCACACAGTAGTGGGCAAATTAAAGATTAAACGCTGGCAAAAATATGCTATGGGGTCAGTGAGGGGAAGGAGTGAGGTGGGTGAGTCCAAAAACAATGCCCAGCTAGACAGACATAGAAATGGGGAGTCAGAGCCGGAGATGGAGAAGGATATGGAGCTGGAGCTGGAGCTGGTTGGGGCCAAGTCAAACAAAAGCCAAACGAAATGAACGCACGCGTGTCTGCGGAGCTGCCACCAGTCGAGTCTGTCCGAGAGTCAATGGTTGGGGAATGAAGCAGTCAAAAGGACCAAGGGGTCCGCCAATTTATGCGCATTATTAAAGCGAATGCATGAAATGTTTCACATGCCAAAGGTGGGCAAGTCTGGTCTCGTCTGGTCTCCCTCTTCCTTGCCCTGCCCTGCTCTGCTCTGGGCCTGTCCATTTCTTTCCATTCCATTACTGACTGGTGATGGCCACGTTCGTAGGTGTTGTAAACGGACATTTATTTATTTAGATTTTAGTTGAAGGCAACAGAGTGTTCCTTTTGGGGGAGAGTGTTCCAATGTTGTTGCCTTGCGTCTTATTAGAATTATTAAATCAAGTTGGGCTTGTGTCTTTGATAAGAAGCTGTTGGGTAATTGGGTCAGCAACGAACTTCTGATAATGGAATGAAAGAAAAGAGAGAATAGTTTTGGGAAAAGTATAGTCATAGGACAATATTTATTAGGTCTTGAAAAGAATAATAAAAATACAATGAAGATACCTGACAATATTTAATTTTTATCTTTAATATGCCCAAGAAATCTATTTTTATTACAAATATCACCAACTTATTTAGATAATATTTATTTTAACAAATTAGTTTCTTCAAGCGTAGTCGCTCAGTTTTGTTACAGAATCATAATATATTTTCAATCGCGTTGTGATTAGGTATTAGAAAACTTATCTTTGATTAATCTCAACAGATTTCAGATTTAAAGAACAATATTTTACAAATGGTTGAGACAATTAGTATTTATATATTTTAGTTACATTATTACATATTACATTAGCACTCATATTAACTTACAAAGATTAAATAACACTCGAGACTATTTTTGTATTTTTAAAAAGGCTTCAGGCCTAATATTAACTTACATATATTAAATTACTTAGCACAATGACATCATATGTTGTGTGATATTCAATTATTTTCCTCTTCATAAATTCATATTCCGAATTATTTAACATTTCAATTCGATCCGTTGGCCATTCGCAGCTGCATCATTAAACGCAAGTTTTTGTGGCATTAAAATTAATTTATGCACACTTCAAATGTGGCCGAAATTATAAGATTTTAATACAGAGAGGCAACTGCTGCACTGCGTCGCATTAGCAACGCGCCATTTAAAGGGGCCAGGGCCAACAATAGGCATAAAATCAATTATGAGCCATTAGCCAGGCACAACGGGAGGGGGAGAAGGAGGAGGAGATCCGACCTCTCCCCGGGCACAAGTGGAGCTCATAAATCATCTGGCAGGCTGTTGCGCTCCAGTCCAGTCCCAGGCAGTCAGTATATTTTCGTGGCAACTCCTCGATTTCCCAGTTGTTCACGCATTAAATATTTATTTAGCAAGATTTTAATGGAGCCGAATAAGTTAAGTGTGCAAATGTCGAGCAAACAGCAGGTGGGCCACCGAATCATTCACCCAGCCTCCTCCGACTCACGTGTCCTTTGTGGGCGTGTAGTAGGCGTATCTCCGTCTGTGTTTGCGTGTTTTCCATGTAGACGACAGCTGTAGGAGCCGTAGAAGCTGTGCCGTGGAGCCGAGAGCAGCAGACAAACTCATTTTATTTGTGCGGAAATTAAATGCACGTTTGACCTATTTAAATTTTGAGCGACGCCTGAAGAGCCTATGAAAATGAATTTATGGTGAAATTTAATTCAATGGTTTATTGAGTCCAAGTGTAAGTGGATGAAAGTTTAATTCAGACATACATTGGTCTATAAGTATGTGAATAAATTGGATTGGATCTTGTGACTGACATAGGATACGTTTAAGCTCATGAGACAGCTCAAGTCAAGTTAATGCCTAGAGGTTTCTTAGTAAATTTAAGAAGAGAAAGTCCGGAAATGTTCATAAAAATACTCGGATGGGATTATCATAATATATCAGATTGGTAAAGCTTGTTTTTAAATCTTTTTTTGCTGTTAGTTCTTCGCACAAATGAGTTGATTAAATAGTTTAATTTGTTAAATTTTTAAAATTCTACATTACTGTAAATATGTAAAGTCTACATTAAAAATTAGCTTTCGTAAATACATATCCTCAGTAAACTGTTTGCAGTTGTATTACCCATAACTTAAACCACAATATTTATGTGAATTTTCAAAGGATGCCCGTATTTTAAAATTGTTTGGAATGTATCCCTCATACCCAACATCATCGTTACAACTCGCAACACGCTTCCGCCCATTTGGGCAACTTTAACCATCCATTCACTTTAATTTATCTCAATTTTAACAACCCGAACATAACCTTATGCAGTTTATTGGACAGTTCGCACGCAGACAAGGGACCTTTCACGATGTTATTTACCCACACCAAAGATTTTAATACCACCTGATACACCTGATGCTGGGTGAATGGGCCAAGAATTTACCTCAAGCTGCTCATTAGCCATAAAAATAGTCACATCCACACGCAGGCCAAGTGGCAATTAAATGCCGAAAAACAACATAATCAGTCATAAAAGTAAACCCCAATCCCCAATCCCCGATCACAAAACCAGCAACGTGAGCGGCAAGTTAAGTAGCAGAGGGAGAGCCTCTTCCTGGCAGAAGTGTCAAATGACCAGATGCTGAAGGGGAAGGGGAAGGGGGGCGGCGGAAAGGGGGAATGGAATTGTGGACCGCAGTTAACTAGGTGTATGGGTGTGAGGAGGTTTTATGTCGCTAATTAAGCCACAAATGCCCTACGAGTCTCTAATGAGCGAACACTCTGAAAAGGCGCCCGAATGTAGGCAACAAAACACTTTTTGCATAGCTGGTTCAGCTTTAATATGGTGAACATGGCGACATCTGCGAAAATTGATTCTAATTAGCAGTAAATTTGAGCAACTGCCGCATTGCTCTATAAAAATCAAGAAAGCTGCCAGCTGCCAGTTGCCAGGTTGTGGCCTAGATTTATTCAGAGTTGGGAACAGTCTCTAGGAGCCAGGAGTTAACTTATTTAGCGTCTGCGTCGCAAATTGCATGTCAAAAATTGTCAAGAGTCTCGGAGTAAAATAAAATGCTGGAAACATGCCACGGCGTTGAATGCAGCGAAAGCTCAGCTATGTGCAACGGCTAAATTACTCGAGCTGTTTGACTTAATGGTCGCTCAGATTGGCAGCAAACAGACGTCTACACAGTTATACATCCTTGTACACAGACAGAGACAGGAACAGGCAGATAGAGAGAGAGAGAGAGAGAGGGGTGGAGACTGTAGATGGCATTAAGCGACACAGACATGCAGACAGTTAGCGTCAAAAGAAAAAGCATTACTTGCAACTTGACGGGGCAAAAAGACGAATGCAGAAATTTCAGCTAAAATTATGCGTTTTCACAAGGCAAAAAGAGTCGTAAAATATGAAATATGACAACGCAGCGATACCCTAAAAGTCAAAAGAAAATAGAATGATAATTATAAAAATATTGCATACAAATTAAAGATAAACATTTTTTTTTATTCTACCAATCATTAAAGTTTGCCAGTTATATTTAAAGCAGGTTTTGAAATTGTGGAAGCTTTGGATTTTTGTGGACGAGTTGATGGAAAGCCAAAGCCAATGAATTCCAGCCTTTTAAAGTCTAATGCAGTTTAGTTAATGTTTAGTTTAGTTAATCGTTTAATGCTATATTTGACTGCCTGCCGCTTCTCGAACCCGTGTTTAATTTTCCTTTTTTCACAGCTCATCCTTGTAGTAAAGATCAAATTTGGCGTCTTCCACCTCATCCCCACCCTCTGCATTCTCCACATAGCAGGTCTTCATGCATTCTGATCTTGTGGCAAAACGATTTGGATTTCCACCACAACCACCATAAAAGTAGTGCACACAACGATTGGTCAGGTAGTCGTAGCCAAAAACTCGAATACTTCCATTGCATGGACCGATATCAGCCATAAACAGACATTGTGCTAATCAATCATTGGTCATTAATAATAGATTTGCTGATGTGATTTTACTTACGTGCCCGAATAACTTTGTTGTAGGCAGCTATTGTGCCCGCAATGAGAATCACAAAGCCAAGTAACGAGTACTTCATGTTCTCATAAATGTATTGTTAAATGAAGCCTTTGAGATTGATATTTAACACAAGTTGCCAGCTTGGGGCAACTGTTGCTGACTATTTAATCATAGCTTACTCGATAGAATTGTAGTGTAGCTCGCATGAGGAGGAAAGAGAGTCAGAGATCAGAGTCAAGAAACTCACATGATACACCTGAACAGCTTCATAGTGTCATATCTTTTTTTTTAGAAAAGGATAACAGAAATGATGATTTTTTTTAATGTTCAACAAGCCTTCAATAGAGTTTGGCATGATGTCCTCATTTCGAAAATGAATGAAAAAGAAAATCATATTTTGCTGGGAATAATCACAATTTTTATCTTTTTTTTAATACAAAATATTGATACATTTATCCGCGTCGAATTCTTGCAACGACGTTTTTTCTTTCTAATACTCACTTTAATAACAATAATAATTAATAATAATAATCATAATATGAATAAAATTCGTTCGCAAAATCCCTGAAAAAATCAGAATACTCTATGCTCTTGCCCACTTCGAAGCGGGACTAACTTGAGGCAATGCTTACATTTATAGTCTCGAACTCAGCAGATTCTCGGTAAGTATGTAAGCTGCGATGCACTTTGCAGTACTCACGCAGTACTTCATCATTTTTATTGCCATGAGACCATCCCCAAGATCCCCTCACCACACTCTTTCGCTATAAAACTAGATTTTTTTGCGTATTTGACTAACGATTTGACGATGTTGATGGGGCTTTGAAATGCATTGGTAGGTGGGAAGAAAAAAACAAGCCAGAAAACGAAGTTGTCGCCGCATATTTCACACGAAAGTGCAGCGGACTTAAAGTTGGCGAAACGGATGTGGCTGTGGAAGTGGCAACGGAAACGGATATGAGACGCCATAATGTAAATGTTAAGTGCGGCGTATGCGTAACTTTTGCCAAAGATTCGTATCTCGCTTTAAGTGTCTGTCTGAAAAATCGATTTAATTTCATTTGTAAAACGATTTTCACTTAAAATGTGATTACGCAAATTTTCAATTTGAAAACGATAACGAAAATTGGCAGCGCAGCTAACTGAAAATGGGGCATCTAATAAGACCCTATCCCAGCCGCAGCTCCCGCTCCCCAGCCCCAACTGACATGCGTTGTCCCAGGGGATGCCATTCGAAATTGTTGTACACGAGATAAGACGGCTTTGTGTCTCGCGGGTCTTTCAACGGCACACTCTTAACAAGCATAATTATATCCCTTATTCATAAAAAGAATTGTGTAAGGAGCGTGGAAATTATTTTAAATAATGGCAAAATAAAATAATATAAAATAAAAAGTATATTTGAGAGGGAGCACCTGGCACCTAGATGATTCTATATTACTTGAATATAAATGTTTTATTTGTCTAGTGCTTTCTACAAGTTCTCTAAAATCAGGTCAATTTTTTTCAGAGCGTAACTGTCAAAGAATATGATAAAAATTAAATCTTTATATAATCACCAATGACCAGTCCTGTGTAACTATGTATTAAACAACTGAGAAATTTTTGGAAAATTAAAAATTGTTGCCTTTTGATTATCTAAGAGGTTCATAGATGTTAATACTCAAATTTAAGATAAATATAACTAGACTATTTCTACTTCCGAATTTGTATATTCATTGGCTTTTAAAACTATTTCTCCATCTCTTCTTGTATTTATCTAACAGATAGATCAGATTCCCAGGGGCCTGATTGAATGTATATTGAATACATATATTTTGAAATCAAATTACTAAAAGCAATTCCCTGCAGATGAAGTATCTTTAAAATTGCATTGAAATCAACTGCAATCCGCAAAAACCAAAACCGTTAACGTTTATCGACGGCCACCGAACAACATTTGCGAAACTTGAAAACTGGCCCAAAGGGCCTTCAACCAACACTTAATTAAGTTTCAGTTGCTGCCCCGTTAACAGTTTGCAGTTACCAACTCCAACTCCAACTCCACCCGGCTGCCCCCCGCACTTGCAACATGGCACGAGGCCACAGCAAAGCTTAGTGGCGACCGCTAATGCGGTTTGGCTTTGACCCCTCCACAAATCCAAGCCGGCCATTTCGCAATTGCAGTTGGCACCGCAAAATGTAACAAAATTCTGACAGTCGCTGATTTCAGTTCGTTGATTATCGTTGACCATTGCACCTGAGCAGGCGGGAAACAGGTGGATAAAGGTTACAGTTGCAAATTGCTACAAATTTGGGACACAAGCGATTTTATTTTTAAACTTTAAATAAATAAAGTGTAGTCGTAGTTGTGTGTGTGTGTGTGTGCATGTCTGCTTGTGGCCAATGCGGAAATGAACCCTCATCAAGTTCCATTAGATTGTCAAAGTTCAGTGTTGGTTGGCGTCGGTGTCGGCGAATGCGGCTCAACCGTGCGCAAAAGTGTCAAAATGTTTAACATATGCCCACATGAGACGTGTCCAATCCCCCTCCACTTCCGGCCTCTATTTGTTATTGTTGTAGTTGCTGCTGTTTATGCTGACATTGTTGATAACACTGACAATAACAAGCAGGCAGCCCACACCCCCAAAGTGGGATGCTCTGATAGAAGACCTGTTCTCATCGCCCTTGTATTGTGATTAGATACATCCCTGAGCTGCTTCTTGTGAGTAATCACATGAAATGGGCTGTTGACCCAGAAGGCAGCCGTTTTTTTTTTCGACTATGTTGTCACTTGACTTATATGTTTAATTTGTACAAAAAAAAGTTGTACTAAAGGCAAATAAGGGTGTTCAAAGTTACCATAGACTACTCGGAAATGTGGCATGAGTATCCCCAGAAAGAAATTTTAAAATATAAAATAATAAATAAATGCCAACGTTATTTTAAAAAATAAAGTTTTTATAATTGTTAATTTATTCAAGAACCAACTGCTGTCTTAGATTTGCCGCAGATAAGATATCCTTGCAAGCATTGGCATCGAAGCGGACAGACAGACATGGACATGTCTATAACGAGTTGACTGATTGAAAATATCAGTCTGTTTGTATGGATAAATCAGTTCCAACGAGCTTACTTGAGCTGGACTAAAGTAAAACATTTAATTTATCTATCAAAATCATCAGAAACTAAGCTTATAATATTAAATAAATAAATCGGGTGTAATTGACAGCTTTATTTACTTTTATTTTATGTATTCTTACATTGCAATATTGTTAATTAATTAAGTTTCATCTCATTGGTAGACATGTAAAGCCTATTTTATCGATCATTGATCTTTTGAATTAGACTTGATTTAAAATCTTTGGTACAAATTATTAGCTTTGGCTTTGCATTTGCTTGCATCCATTATGAAATTGGATTCAGATTGGCTCTACACATTTGTTGCAGGCATATATTTGAACTTGCCACACAGCGTAGCAGTTTCAGCGCACCTCGCACGCTGTCTAACTGTCTGATTGAATATCTTTTCGTATTATTTTTTGCTGTCGCTCGCACTTTTTTTTGCCAACCGACACTTGAACGCCTTTTTCTACGTTATGTTTTCAACTTTATGCATATTTTTTGCATTTATTGTGGCCAAAACATGAGAACGAGCTGTGGGTCTATGCCGGCTAATGTATGCTTGTCACGTTTCGCCACTTGTGTCCTGCGGGCTCCTGTCTCCTGCCTTCGTGTCTTTACATTCACTTAGTGGCAGGTCTTGGGTAAACCTCTTTTGCATATTGATATGCTTGCATATGAAATCCACTTGGTGGCATCCTGGCTCGCATCAGCCTTTTGCTTTGTAATGGAAATTAACAGCAGTTTACGTGTTGCCAGCACTGCAAGTTGCCAGCACAGATATGAGCTAATAATACGCATAGCATAAATTACATGCAGGTCAAATAAAGAAAACATTGAAGTTATTTGCTAACAACTAAATTTTGGTGCAACAAAACAATTCAAAATGCTTTTCAGCTCAAAATTTGTGCACTGCTTGAAATAAATGCAGTACGTGTTCAAGTGCAGTTTTGCACTGCTTGCGAGCGAATCAAATTAAAAGTGGCGCCCAAAAGAATGCAATAAAAAATGTAACTTTATTTTATGGTCGCTAAAACTGACCAACCCCAACAATAGACAGGGCGCAAACTGTGTGTTTTTTTGTATAGAACTTTGTAGTTAAATTTTTTGCCCGTGGACTATTAAAATGCACATAAAGGCCAAAGCGAACTGTTCTAAAATACTCCAACTCGCATATTCAGACAGCACGCAAAGCAATTAGAGCAACAACACTGCATGTGGAAAAACTTTTGGCGCCCAAATGGCGCACGAAAGGCGCCTCAATGCCAGCTCATTAAAGTTTATTGGGTGATTTTGCATATATAGCCAAAACACGCCAGACAAGTGCAGCCAACTGAGGGGTGTGCCGAAGTGGTAGCTGACAGACGAGCAACATGGCTGAAGAAATGGAAACTTTTTCGGTTGCGATAAATCAGATTTTTACTCGTTAAATTGTTCGTTAAAATTAAGCACAGCCTTAAAGAAAGCCCACACAAAAATCATATTCAAATTGTGTTTGCTTCAAAGTATTTTCTGGCATTTGGAAAGGGATAGGTTCTCTCTAAGAAATGCCCAAAATGCGGCGACGGCGTCCTTGCTGACAGCTAATGAACATTCTTGGCAACCTTGGCTCAAACGGTTAGCTGGGTAATTAGCGTAGTGCATATTCCGGGGCGTTTATTTTATCGCCATAAAATATGTCAAAGTGAGCGAAAAGTGATATGCTTGAAGCGAAACAAGAAGTGTGTCCGACTATGAAATACCCTGTGCACAGCCCCAGCAAAGTATTTGACTCTAACAGGACCAGAACCGTTTTGTGACACAAAAAGACATATCCGGAGAAGGACACACAAATAAATAATAAAAATTAATAATAATAAATAAAATAAAAATATTTCAATTGTACGATGACAGGCGAGTTATGAAATTAAATGAGCTTGATCTGCATATGGAGCTTATATTCCACTCATCTAATAAGACTTGGCTAAATCTAATCTAATCCACCTTATTATTG